GCTTGAGGCCAGGGCAGCCCCCAGCCCCTCTCACCCCAGCTGCACACAGGTATCCCAGAGACACTGCCCTGCGACCCAACCAAGCAAGGGCTTGGAGCAGTGGGGTGAGGAGATGGAGGGGGAAGCCCCCCTGTGACCCCTGGAGACCACTGAAGTGGCCCTTGCCTCTCCTCAGGTGCCACTGGCATCTCTGATGTGCTGTCTCACTCCCCATCCAAGGACCCAGAAGCCAAATCCTCCCCTCCAGCTCCTCGTTTGACTTTCCTCCCCTCACACAAGGGTGAAGATCCCTTCTTGTGAAGGTTCAGGGACTGGAAATACCAGAAATACCAGAAACTAAAAGTCTTCTCTTTTTAAGCAGCCACAGCACAAACCAACCAACACAATCCTACTATTAACCTCGATTAACTTGGAGGCAGTTCAGTACCCACTGAACTGGGTCCTCCCCAGCCACTGCTGCCCAGGCCAGACTGCAGATGGGCCACCAAAGTCAGGCCTGCGACCACCAGAGTAGAATCATAGAACCATAGAATGGTTGGAGTTGGAAGGGACCTTAAAAATCATGGAGTTCCAACCCCCTGCATGGGCAGGGACCCCTCCCAGCAGCCCAGGCTGCTCCAAGCCCCATCCAACCTGCCCTTCAACACTGCCAGGGATGGGGCAGCCACAGCTTCTCTGGGCAGCCTGTTCCAGTGTCTCACCTCCTGATCTCTAACCAAAATCTCTCTTCTTTCAGTTTAAAACCATTGCCCCTTGTCCTCTCACTACAAGCCTTCTGTCCAACCAGCAAGGCAGGGTGATGTTTGCTCACAAGCCACCCCCATCCCCATAGCACAGCCCCCAGTACCAGCCCCCCTCACTCAGACACAGAGGGGCTGTGTTCTCTGCCAGCCTCACAGGATGGTGGGGATTTGGGTGTCACAAGAGCTGATCCCTGGCCAGCTGTCCTCTGTGTTTCTGCCCAGGGATGACCCCTGACTTCCCAAACAAGCTCTTCCTAATCATGTGCCATGACCCAGGCAGACACAAGGGCTGGGGAGGGACTGCACCCTGGGGACCAGTGGGGTCTTGCTCCTCTTTGGGAGCAGAGTGGGGTTTTGCAGGGTAGTTTGGGAGGTGCTAGGAGCTACAGGATGAGCAAGGATCTGAATGTGGAAAGCAGCCAACTGTTTTGGATGCAGGATGGATTCCATGGCCAAGACACCCTGCGAGCACCAGACAAGACAGTCTCTCCACAGAAGCCCTGAATAGCTCTTCCCCACACTGGCCCTTGCATCATATTCATGTTTTTAACCTTGTGGGACAGTTCCCAGATTCTTCACTGTTGCAAGTCAGGGCTGTCACTGCTGCAAACACTCTCCCAGTGCCAAGGTGCCTCTGCTGGGACTGGTTCAAGCTTGGCACACAGCAAACAGCATCCCTGGGAATAGGGAGGATGGGTGTGTGCATGCACGGATTACCCCATCCCGGGAGGAAGAGAAGGAGAAAAACCCTTCACTTCACAGCTCTGCATGGCATGATTTTGCCAAGACCCAGTTTTCAGACCAGCTTTTCAAGGGAGTTGATGTGCAGCACCAGCGTGAGGAGGGAAAACCAGCAGAGACACAGGCCAACCCCAATCCAGAAAGCCCTCTCGTGTGCCCCTGGCCTTGCTGCCAGCTTTCTCACCGTGTTTGTGCCGTTGCAGGGACACGGGAGGCAGCCTTTGTCTATGCCATCTCCTCAGCAGGGGTGGCCTTCGCCGTGACCCGGGCGTGCAGCAGCGGGGAGCTGGACAAGTGCGGCTGCGACCGCACGGTGCAGGGAGGCAGCCCGCAGGGTAAGTGTGCTGGGGGCAGCCAGCCTGGGGTGCTGAGTGGGCCAAGCATGGGAATGCTCCCTCTGGAGCCAACCAGAAAGGAGGAATCATAGAGTCCTAGGGGTTGGAAGGGACCTGGAAAGCTCCCCCAGCCCAGCCCCCCTGCCAGAGCAGGGGCACCCAGAGCACATCACACAGGAACGTGGCCAGGGGGGTTGGAATGTCTCCAGAGAAGGAGACTCCACAGCCTCTCTGGGCAGCCTGGCCCAGGGCTCTGGCACTCTCACAGCAAAGAAGTTCTTCCTGAGATTCCCAGGGAACCTCCTATGCTCCAATTTGCACCCATTACCCCTTGTCCTATCACTGGTCATCACTGAAAAAAGCCTAACTCCATCTCCCTGACACTCACCCTTTACGTATTTATAAACATTGATGAGGTCACCCCTCAGTCTCCTTTTCTCCAAGCTAAAGAGACCCAGCTCCCTCAAAAAAGTAAAAAGGAAAAAAAAAAGATAAAAATGAAGTCTGTTGGTCCAGGAGTGCATCACCCTTGGGGCAGAGAAAACCCTTGGCTGTCCCACCTCTAGGATGAGACTCTCCAGCTCCCCCAGGCATCCCGGCCAAGCTGGAGAGCAGGGTGGGCAGGTGAGCTGGCTGGCTGGAGAGGCTGAGCAGGGCAGGCTGGCTGTAACCTGGCTCCTCCCTGCCCTCTGCCTTAGGCTTCCAGTGGTCGGGCTGCTCGGACAACATCGCCTACGGCGTGGCCTTCTCACAGTCCTTCGTCGACGTCCGGGAGAGGAGCAAAGGGGCTTCTTCCAACAGAGCCTTGATGAACCTCCACAACAACGAGGCAGGCAGGAAGGTAAGGGTGAGGGGGAAACCTGCATCCCAGCTGGGCTCTGCAGCTGCTGCTCAGCCTGTTTGGCTTCATTTAACCTCATGATCTCTTGTGCATCAGCATCGCTCTCTGCGTGACCCTTCCAGACCCCCGACATCCCACCCTCCTCGCACTGTCCGGCCTGAGCTGACTGTCCCCTCCTGTTTCTTGTGCCCCTTCCTCCAGGCTATCCTGAACAACATGCGGGTGGAGTGCAAGTGCCACGGGGTGTCGGGCTCCTGCGAGTTCAAGACCTGCTGGAAAGCCATGCCCCCCTTCCGCAAAGTGGGCAACGTCCTGAAGGAGAAGTTCGACGGCGCCACGGAGGTCGAGCAGAGCGAGATCGGCTCCACCAAAGTGCTGGTGCCCAAGAACTCCCAGTTCAAGCCGCACACGGACGAGGACCTTGTCTACCTGGACTCCAGTCCTGACTTCTGTGACCACGACCTCAAGAACGGGGTGCTGGGCACCAGCGGCCGGCAGTGCAACAAGACCTCCAAGGCCATCGACGGCTGCGAGCTGATGTGCTGCGGCCGCGGCTTTCACACGGACGAGGTGGAGGTTGTGGAAAGGTGCAGCTGCAAGTTCCACTGGTGCTGCTCTGTCAAGTGCAAACCCTGCCATCGGGTGGTGGAAATCCACACGTGCCGGTGATGCAGGGAGGGGAGTGCCCGTCCTCCTCTCCAAGGACCCTGCTTCTCCCTCGCCCCACGGCCAGGACTGAGGAAGGATCCCAGATGCTGCAGGGAGAGGGCAGCTCCTGGCAGAGACAGGGCAGCTCCTGGCAGAGAGACAGGGCAGCACCTGACAGAGACAGGGCAGCTCCTGGCAGAGAGACAGGGCAGCACCTGACAGAGACAGGGCAGCTCCTGGCAGAGAGACAGGGCAGCACCTGACAGAGACAGGGCAGCTCCTGGCAGAGAGACAGGGCAGCACCTGACAGAGACAGGGCAGCTCCTGGCAGAGAGACAGGGCAGCACCTGACAGAGACAGGGCAGCTCCTGGCAGAGAGACAGGGCAGCACCTGACAGAGACAGGGCAGCTCCTGGCAGAGAGACAGGGCAGCACCTGACAGAGACAGGGCAGCTCCTGGCAGAGAGACAGGGCAGCACCTGACAGAGACAGGGCAGCTCCTGGCAGAGAGACAGGGCAGCACCTGACAGAGACAGGGCAGCTCCTGGCAGAGAGACAGGGCAGCACCTGACAGAGACAGGGCAGCTCCTGGCAGAGAGACAGGGCAGCACCTGACAGAGACAGGGCAGCTCCTGGCAGAGAGACAGGGCAGCACCTGACAGAGACAGGGCAGCTCCTGGCAGAGAGACAGGGCAGCACCTGACAGAGACAGGGCAGCTCCTGGCAGAGAGACAGGGCAGCACCTGACAGAGACAGGGCAGCTCCTGGCAGAGAGACAGGGCAGCACCTGACAGAGACAGGGCAGCTCCTGGCAGAGAGACAGGGCAGCACCTGACAGAGACAGGGCAGCTCCTGGCAGAGAGACAGGGCAGCACCTGACAGAGACAGGGCAGCTCCTGGCAGAGAGACAGGGCAGCACCTGACAGAGACAGGGCAGCTCCTGGCAGAGAGACAGGGCAGCACCTGACAGAGACAGGGCAGCTCCTGGCAGAGAGACAGGGCAGCACCTGACAGAGACAGGGCAGCTCCTGGCAGAGAGACAGGGCAGCACCTGACAGAGACAGGGCAGCACCTGACAGAGACAGACCCGCCCCCAGAGGAAAACAGATTTTAAAGGAAAAAAAAAATATTTAAAGTTTAAAAAAAAAAAAAAAAAAGAGCATTGTTGGCTTTTTTTTAATTTTGCTTTGGTTGCTTGTTTGATTTCTTCCTGGAGCTGGAACCCCAGGGTGTCCCGTGCCAGCAGGGACATGTCTGCTGGCAGCAGCTGGCTGGGGACCTGCGTGATGCCTGCGGCCATCGGATGAGCTCCTGCTGACTCCAGAGCCCTGCAAAGGGCAGGTGCTGCAGCCAAGGTCAGCACCAGGCACTTGGTATCTTCTGTTGCAGTTCTTGGTGAAGGCTGAGCGTCCCAGAGCAGGGCTTGCCTTGGCTGAGCCTTGGGAGGGGATGGAGCAGAGCCAGCACCTGCAGCCAGGTGCATCACATGGCATGGGCAGGGGGTGATGGGGTGGCAAAGTCCCCAGGAGTTAAGCTGAATGTTGGGAAAACATAGCCAGGGGGAGCAGTATCTGAAGGGGAGGTGGGACACTCTTGCATCCCCTTGTGGGATGCTCAGCAGTTTCCTGGGCATTGAGTGGATTTCAGAGCAGCTCCAGTGGCTACTGGGATTTGCAGAAGCTCCTCAGCAGCTGCTTATGGCTGTTGGAGGATACACTATTCCCACCACACTCTCCTTCCTCTTGGAGGCCCCTTCCCCCCCCACTTCTCCAGCATCTTGCTGAGCTGGTGACTGTGAAGAGGGTCCAGAGGGACCACGGTACCTGCAATCCAATGACTTTTAATGGAGCTGGGAGGTGATAGGAGGAAATCCCAGGGGATTCATTTTCTTCTGTCCCATCATTGCCCACACCCCCTTGCTCACCAGCATCCCACAGCCAGGTCTCCTCCTCCACGTGCCTGCTCTTCACACCCAGTGAGGTCTCTGGGGACAGACAGTCCCTGTCCCATTGGCACCAGGAAAAAATAAATAAATCACAAGTATGAAGTGGAGCAATTTAAGGGGGGGTTGGGGAAAAGATGTTGAAGGGAAAGGCAATGCTCATGCTCTGTTGACCTCAAGGGATGCTGCCACCAGGGCTGAGTGCAGCAGGGCCCCAGCTGCCCCATCTTACCCTCCACAGGCCGGCCTGGAGCTCTGCCATGAGGAGAACACGCTGTCCTGCCCGCTCCGCTTCCCGCCGCCGGGTGAGTGCAGATCCTTGCTGCTGGGCTGCAGGACCAAGTGTTTGGAGAACTAATAAGCAGAGGGGCACAGTGAGGGGAGGTGGAAAACGAACCGGGTTCTCTCTCTCTCCCTCACCCACTTGTCTGTGAATCCAGAGGCAAAAAAGGGGAGCGGAGGAAAAGCTGGAAAGGGCACCTTGAGCCCACAGGGCGAGGAGGAGCCGGCGCTGCTGAGCCCTCCTGGGCCAGCTGTGAGATCCCTGCCTGCTCCTGAAAAGCTTCTAGCCCATCACCCTCTGGGCTGGGTGGTCTTTGCAAACCTGCAGGCTTTGTTTTTCTTCCTCGAGAGGGGAAAGGTTGGGGGGGAAGGCACGGACACGCGTTACGTCCCGTCTGTTCCGTGGCAGTGATGGGCTGGGGGAGAGGCTGTGGTGGCTGGAAGGTGTCCAGACACCATCCGGCTGGAAAGCTGCTGACAACTGACTTGAAGCAGTGCAGGGTGAGGGAGGCCTTGTGCTGAGACATCCCTCCACTACCCTCTGGCTGCCTCCATCCTGCCTGCCCAGCCCCAGCTCCGAGAAACCTGCAGCAAAGGGTGGCAGGAGCGCTGGGACAGCCCGAGGTGGAGCCACTCTGGGTTGGTCCATTTCAGTGCAAACCAGTGCTCATCAGAGCAGCACGGAGCAGGGGTTGCCTCTCTCAGTGGTTCTGTTGGTCCAAGGGTGCAGCATGAAACCCTCAGGGGAGATCTCAGCTTCACCCCCTCCCGGCTCCATCTCTTTAACCCCCTAAGGCTGCAAATTCTCAAGTACCTTGGAGACTGTTCCTCCTCTTCCCAGCTCATGCAGAGGAGGCCACAGACCTTAGGCCACTGGCCAAGTTTTCTGCTTGTTGTCCATCTAGGATGAGGGCCAAGGCTGAACAAGACAATCCAGATCAGTGTGGAGATAATCTCTGCACAAGGGATTTTTTCAAGCTGCAAGGAAAGCTGAGCCCTGTAAATGTCACCCGGAGGAACCCGGCTCTGCAGCTCTCTGGCTCTTCTCACAACTGTACATTTTAGCACCAGAGGAGGGGGAAAAAATGCCTTTTTTTTCATATTTACTTTATCTATTAAATAATAAGTTTATGCTGGATGAGCCACAGGCTTTTCTGCTCCTACCAAGCAGGCTGTGTAAAACCACCAAGTGCTGCAAACACCAGTTACTGGTCTCCTTCTGAGAGCCCGTGTGAGGAGAAGAGGTGCCCAGGTAGCACCTCCTGACAGTGCAAAGGGGACACTGCAGTTGTCCTTGTCCCTTCTCCTGTCTCTCCTCAGGAGATGCTGGTGTTTGGACCACAGACTGCATCCCTTTGCCCATCAGTGGCAGAAGAGATCACAGGCTTCTGACCCAACCACCTGACACAGCTCTGGCTTCAGAGGCCACTTAGATTTCAGGAACTCTGTGACTTCCTCCTGCCCAGAGGGCACTGACATTCACCTGCTTAGAGCAGAGCCCTCCTCCCCTGCACACAGCCAGGGAGTGTGTGTGTTTGCTGCTGGAAACCTCTTGTCAGGGGTCACCAGGTGCATTTGAGCACTCCCTGGGTGGCAGGGGTTGAAGGCTGCTTTTTGAAGTTTAACCACAGTTGCAGGAACAGGATAGGATGGGAGAAAATGAGCCCTGAGCCTCCAAAAAAAACCCCTTCCTTCCAACAGCTCCTCTCTTCCCCCGAGGGAGCCCATCCCACAACCTCCCAGCTCCATCCCTCCCTGTCCCAGTCCAGCTTCTGCTCCAGGTGCAGCCTCCATTCCCCCACCTCCCAGCACCTCCCAACAAAGGTGCCCTTCACCCCCCATGCTGAAATGGGTTGCAGGGAGATGCCAGCTTCTCTGCAACCATGGACAGAGGCAGATGTTAATGACCATCCCACTAAGCTGCTTCCCACCACCACATCCCTCCACACACCCACCCTGTGCCAGCCCCACAGGCTCAGCACTCGTCCCTCCTCCTTTGACCCCCTCAACACCCGCTCCCTGGTGAGGTCATTGCTCCTCCAAGGACTTGCAGGCCAACATCTCCACCCGGCTTCTCCCACTCATAAACCTTCCTGGATGTCCCACTGCCAACTTGAGCTCATCGTGGCAAAAAACAGGACATCCCCTCCAAGTCCCCTCCGCCCAGCCCCAGCAGATGGGTAACTCCATCATTTTTTCCCACTCCCCAAACCCCCAGCTTCACCACCATTTTCTGCTCCTCCTTTTTTCTCCACCTTTTCTCCTCAAAAACCTACCCCAAGTGTCACATACCTTCAAACTCACCTACTTCATGCTTTGGGCTTCTCTTTTGCCACCTCCCCCCTCCCACTGGGGTCTGAGCACGACACAGCCAAGAGCTGAGGTTTCTCTCCAGCTGTTTTGGCCACATCACCCTCCTGCACTTTATTGCCCATGAACACTTTTCATCACTCCCAACTATCTCATCCTCCCTCCCAGGCTCAGCCTCACGCACTGCTCTTCCTGCAAAGCAACTCAATCCCTCCTCCCACCACGACCAGGGCTCCTGCACAGCACAAACCAGCACTCGTGTCCTTGCCCTCCCTCCCACCAGCACTGACCCTGACAGCAAATCCCTCTGAATGGCCAGAGAATCACAGAATCATCAGGGTTGGAAGGGACCTCTGAAGATCATTGTCTAACCCCCCTGCCAGAGCAGGGGCACCCAGAGCACATCACACAGGAACGTGGCCAGGGGGGTTGGAATGTCTCCAGAGAAGGAGACTCCACAGCCTCTCTGGGCAGCCTGGCCCAGGGCTCTGGCACCCTCACAGCAAAGAAGTTTCTCCCCATGTTCAGGTTGTCACAAGTTGTCACTTGGTGTCGTTTCCCCTCATCCTGTCACAGGCACCACTG